TAGTGCTTCGCGGGCAAAATTCTGTTCCTAACACCTCTACAATTCTAAGACGTAATAATCACAAAATAGAAGATGGAGAATAAGAAGGGTAAGCACAGTTACTCATCTAGATATTAAAGGTTTCATTAGATCTGAAAAAACGGACTGAAACCATCGAACAGCCTGTTTATACTAAAAATTGTGAGGATCGAATTTAAAATTTCTTTCTTTAAATGGAAAATAGGTTTAAAAGAACAAGTCCTGTGGAGCTAAGGGTTTATATGGTCCAACCCTGCAGGCTAAGAGTTGACCTGTTTAAGCTTTTTTTATAATTTTTTTAAATTTTTTATGTAATTATTATATTATTAAAATTTTGTTGGGCTACCAATGGGGATTGAGTTTAGTGAAAAGGACTAATCTTTCACAATATGACAAACCAAGATTCGAATCCCGTTGGGAGAGGTGCCCACATTTAGTGCCTGACAGTATCTCAAATAGGATTGCCTCAATAGGAGAATAACTATGCTTTGGCAAAAAAAAAAAAATTCTTTGGGCTCCAGTAAAACCCGCTTTGACTGGAAGCAAAATATAAATAGTTGCTACGTGTCGTCTACCATAAAGGGCGCCCATTTGAAGACTTGAGCATACAAGTTTTAGGCCTAAACAACCACAGAGCGGCCTGCAATGAAGGTGCTGCTCTTCGTTGGATTGTTCTGCTGCTACTTTAATCTCTTTGACTTGGGATAATAATAAAGTTGAAAGCCCCAACAAAGTAATGACATTTTTGGATTATTAAGACTGAATTGAAAATATCTTCTGATTTAGAAAATCTAAAATACTTATGATGTAAATGCAAAATGTTATTGTTGGCAAAAACAAAATGCAAACTACAACTATATATGCAACCAGGTGCTTTGATATTGACAACTAAGTGCACAATAAGTAAGATTTATTGGAAATCAATTTGCCCAATCAACAATGCAGCTCTCAACTTTGAGTTCAACACCACATATATGATCTGAGATCTATTTTTTTTATTTTTTTAATAAAATAGACCTAAAATATATAAATTCATTCAAATACTAAATTTCAGTGTGTGAAACTTATTTGAATGGTACAAAAATCCGCTCGTAGTTTATTTGGTTTAAGAGACATGGAGGAGTGCAAAAACTGTAGCGAGTTGAATAAAGAAAAAAGTTAGAAGGAAAGGGAGAGAAGATTCATTTTTTAAAAAAAATCTCCACCCAATCTATCATTTCAAAATTAATAACTCTTTCCTGAAAAAATAAAGAAATAAGACTGAATTTTAACCTAGTTAAAAGTTTAGAGATTAAGTTCCACCAAATCATATTTAAAAAGAATATGAGTTATAAGTAGGTTAAAAATTGTAAGAGATTAATTTTTTCCCAATTTTTGAAATTAAAGTTCATAAAATGGTTTGATCTATTTGGTTTTAGACAATAATTTGTTCAATGAATAGCTAGAATACAAAATTTAAAAGTGAAATTTTTATGAAAAAGAAAAGCTTGATACTTTTGCCACTAAAAAAGAGCATACTCACAAAGAAGAGCAATTAATAATAATGATGATGAAGTTTTAAAAAATTAAAAATAATATTTATCTATTACATATTTGCACTCTTGATAGAACTTTTGAATGTTTTCTTGTTAATAGATGTTTCAGATATTCTTAGATATTGATGGATATTTAAATATGATGATATTTTATATTTGTAACTTAATTTTATTCATATTATGCTTTTTATTAGTAGTTTTATTACTTTATTTTATTTTTTTGATAAAACATATAAGAAATATTAAAAAATTGTATTTTTTTTTTCCTTAAAAGGGTCAAAAACCCACGGGCTAGCCCTAAATCCCTCAACTTAGGGATCAAGCCTAACAAAATGAGATATTTCTAAAATTCTAACTCGTTTAAGCCAGTGACCCTATAGGGACAGGTCAGCTCGTATTCTCAAGGCTAAGTTTCATCAAATTGTGATTTTAGCTAATACACATGATTATGAAGAATATTTTAAGAAAGATAATACTCCTCTGATCCTTAATATAAGACCTAATTATTGAGTTGGTTTTGGTCCTAAATATAAGACCCATTTCTCATATTTATTGATTTTCTCTAAAGTACCCTTATGAATACTCCCTTAATCATAATGAAGTAAAAGAGAGATGGTATATTAAGAAAGATAGGTATGGTGTTTTAGGAAAAACGTGTCATATTTCTTATAATTAACTAACTTACCTAACTTCTTTAATCTAATCAAACTAGTTAAATGGGTCTTATATTAAAGATCGGAGGAGTATCTATTTGTTACAAATAATAAACTCAACTAATTTTCTTAATATACTCTAATAAGTCAACTAACTCTTATATTAAGAAGCTGATATAATAATTTTCTCTATTTAAAAATAATTAATGAAACGGCTCAAATCTAATGAGTTTGAAGTGATTTGTTTTTATTTCCAAGAGTTCTGTTGTAATTAAGATTTTCTAGTGATTTCTACAAGTTCCCGTGTCTTCTCTAAGTATTCATCCATTTGGACTTGCTTCTCCTTCAGGTGATCTTTGATTCAAACCCGATGGCCCCTTGTTCCCTTTATCATTGGGTAAGTTCAAAATTAAAATCCCATGATTGTCCAGCGGGCTTTTATTACTCCTCCAAGTAATAGTGTGTTTATTTTTTGGGGGTACAACGCGCCAATAGTTTTGAATCCAATTGTCCAGCGATTCCATCATCACCAACAATAATATTTAGTGCCCGACAATGTCTCGAATAGGATTCTCTCCAATAGAAGGATACCTATGCTCCTGTTGGAGGCAATCATATTCGATCCTATTAGAGGCAATCCTATTCGAGACACTGTCAGGCACTAAATGTGAATACCTCTCCTAACAGGGATTCGAACCTTGGTTCCTCACGTTGTGATATACTAGTCCCTTTCGTTAGACCAAATCCTTATTGGTGAATACCTATGCTTTAGCAAAAAAAAAAACATGTAGTCAGTTGGCCCAACCTCTTAGTGGGTTTGCAGTTGCTAAAATCATTTCTGTTTGCCCCATTATGCTTTTTTCCCCTTTTTGCTAGAATCTTATTAAAGGTAATTCTGTTTGAAATACTATAAGGTACTAGATATGAGTACCTCTTTTAGTAAAGATTCAAATAATGATTCATCACATTATAGAAAAATAGCTTCTCACCCTAAACCCAACTTTAGTTGGTAAGCCCACTAAGGGGTTGATCACCCATTCCTTTTTGGGCCTTACCTACACTCATTGGCCCATTAGGTTTAGTGTTGGTATTATGACTATGAGTGTTTCTTTAATAGCAATAAAAATCATGAAAAATTTGTACCCAAAAAAAGCCATGAACAGTATTGAGATGAAACTAATTGAGTTAGATTTAATTGAAAGGGTTGATTACTCACAGGTGAATCAAAAATTCATTTTTTCAGAAGAGGTTCTCACATCTTAGTGCTTCAGTGTTTCCAATAATACTTATCAAACCGTTTGATCCTTTTATCAACATAAAATTTGTAATAAAAAATGTATCATAAAAGTTTTTATCATGAATGACTTATTAGTTACTCCCTCCGGTTCAAAATATAAGCTAAAGTTAACTCATTTACGTTTATCAAAAAATGAATTAAAAAAGTTTAAGACAATAAATGTGTAAGGTATATATATTGTTTTTCTAAATATACCCTTATTAATGAAAGAAGTAAATAAATAATAAATAAAAAAAAGAAGGAAAGAGAATATATTGGGGCAGAGGATGAGAGAGAGTGTGTCATGAATAAATTGAATTAGTGGAGGGAAAGAAAGTCAACCAAAATGTAATTTGAAAAACAAAAAGGTTGGAAAATATTCATTGAAGCTTCTCTCTTCTATTCACTTTGTTCGAAACACCTTCTTTTCTGATACCTCGTAAACCAGCACTTTTTATAATTAATGCCATCAATAACCAAAAAAATTAAATACATATGTTAGGGGTAAAATTGGAAAATATTCATTAAATGGTTAGACAAATTTGAAATGTTATCTTATAAAAAAAATCAAGCCTCTCAACAAATATTAGCTTATATTTTATACCGGAGGGAGTATTACCACGCCTTTCCTAGTATGGATCAAGGGTAGGTTTTTACTTTTACTTGACAAAAGGGCGTGCTGGATCCTGAGGCCCCCAGCTCCTAGATACTCCAGCAAGCCGATGTCCTCCTTTCAAAAACGGCATAATGGGCATCTGAAACCGGCCTCTTCATGAACATGGAAAAATATGGACACTACAACCAATAGTATATTCACCCTAACATTCCAATCTTCATGATTTGATTGAAAAGCAAATTGGTGCTACCATACATTCCTTTCCTTTTGTGCTGACTTTGTAAGATAAACTCTGATCTAGCAAGGATCGCAATACATTATTTCATGCATATATTGCATTATAAAAATACAACCCTGAAAACAACAATGATCTAAAAGGTACTCATGTCCATAACTTCATGCTTATGAACACTCAAACCCAAACATGGGTACACACAAACAAACCCATACATAAAGTGGCTCATTTTAAACTCCAGGTGAAGCACAAAGCACCATCTAGTAAGTTATCAAAGTTTGCTAATTATCATGTTGTTCTCTAACTCTGATAAATATCATCATAGATTTGCGTGGCAGGAAAATTGGTACAACAATGCCTTCTTCTCCTTTTGCATTCCCATGGGCAACGAAGAAGCTTACTCCATGGAAGTCTCCAGCACCAGGCATTGCTGGTCCACCATATGTTGCCTTACCCCAACCAAAATCTATGTCTTTAAAACCAACACGGGTCAAATCTGATACCTGCCAAGCCCTTAAGGAAATATGGTTAGGCCGTCCTCTTTGTATGTACTGTACTGTTGTCATAGCTTTTGAGTTCTTGACCAGCTCCAAGGCATACCCACATAAGGGTTACCGCAGAGCTTCTCGGCGATGGTAACGACGGCCGGGAACATGAAAGCGTTGCTTTAATAAGCCGGTGGCAGCAATGGAGGGTTCGACTTTTTGTTCCTTACATTATTATTGCACATTAAGCGAACCTCCTTATCTGGTTCAAGCTGTAAAGCTATGGTACAACAACGCCAGATGAATGCTGTGAGTACTTCAAAGGAAGAGTTTTGACGATGGTGGTGATGAGGGAACAATTGATGAATGGCCTTTAACTGGTTAGGACCAAAGAAGAAAGAATCGTAGACCATGTCTTCGTTTCTTGTTTCATCATCATCATTATTTGGCACTTCATCGTATTCAGTGTGGGGGCATGTCATACGAGGTGGGTCCCTCGCATTTAGTAACTCTCTGCACCAAACTGGATGGATTGAAGGCTCACAACCTCCTTGTGTTATCTCAGCTAAAGCCTTCACCAATTGAACAAAACCAAGACCATCACTCATAGTGTGGTTTAAGCGATGAGTGAAAATGAATCCACCACACTTGAGACGTGTAACCTTAATTAAAGGGGGGGAACATAACCAACATTAGCACATCTTGGAGGCATTTGAGTTAAAACCTATCATGGTATAGATAATTCTGGTCCAACATTAATAAGAGCAAAAATGACAGCATAAGTATACCCTCTTTTTTGAGAATGACTTATGAACTAAACAAAATTGATGAAGCTTGAAATAAAAGACTAAATATATGAGAGGACCTGAATGAGTAAGAGGGGACAATTAGTGACTCCTTCTGAACCAGGGACATTATAAAGAAGCTCTTCAAAGCAAGGGAATGGAGGTTTAAGAGGGTCACCAAATTGGTAAAGACAAACATCTGCATCAGCTTCAATGAAAATGACTCCTCCTTCATTACAATCTACCATAAGTTTGCGACAAGTTCCTTCCCTAAGTCGACCTGCAAAAGGATAGTAAAAAACAGGGTTTCAGCGAATGCCTTTTTGATGAGCTTAGCAGGGTCCTTTCCTGCCATGGAAGGCTTGTGAGGATAAAAGAAGAATAATGGAATTTGACATCTTAGATGCTCTTACTCATCTATGTCAGAGAGTAGCTTAACCACGCGAGGTGTAGGCTTGGCCGGAGCCACCAGTTCTGGTTGGCACTTCCTCACAGTGAACTCTATTTTTGGTGAAAATGGTTTGGCCATTTATGTTACCAAACATAGAACTAAAAGGAGGATGATCAGGATGTTAGCTGCTATGCTTTGGGTTCACGATGGAAGCCAGGCGGCAATATTTATAAGGGAAAGACACAAACATTATATTGCCACCCAAATAAGCAAATCCCAATTTAAACCCTAAAATGACTAAATGGTGTTTGGATTAACTTTTCAGAAGATAAATACGTTAACAGAATTTTAACTAAAAATACTTTTTTTAAGTGCTTATGAGAAACAAAATGACAATGCTTGTTTAGTTTAACTGTCCAATGCCTCTTGCCTTGATGGGGCATGCAATGTGCTCATGCAACTCTAGAATCCAAGTTCAAACCTAGCCAACAACTAAGACATATAGTGAATTAATTTTAACAAGGACAATTAGGTCATTTCACAAAAATTTAATTAATTTCAAAATAATTTCCAAGTACTTCATGGGAATTAAGCCATTTCAACCAATCATTTTAGAGTTCTCATATTTCGAGATGCCTTTCCCCCTATTCATTATCCATAATGAGATAACCAAATTAGTCAATTACATTCTCGTGTTTTTGTAGTTTTTCTCTTTGTTTGCCATCAAAGCCCTTTTCAGTTACAGAGGCCGCGTCATTATGCAACAAAACATATGCATTTTTATTTTGTTTTTGGCCAAATCAATTGTTCGCTTGTAACTCACATGATGGTGAGATCTTTATCGACGTAAAGCAACCCATGAGGTATACTATATGGTATTACGTCACCACAAAAAAACATCAAATTAGCAATAGAATTTAATGACGAATTAACAACAAATTAGTGACAAATTCATTTAGCGACGGAATTAGTGACAGTATTTTTTTGGTCACTAATTCCACCGTTACTAAATAATTAGTGACGGAATTCAAACTTCTGTCGCTAATTAGCAACACTAATTGACGGATCAGCGACAAAATTAGTGACGAAAATTTTCTGTCACTAATCCGTAGCTAATTAGTAACGAATATCCCATAAAAATTCTGTCACAAAATAATAATGGATTTGTGACGAAAAATTCCGTCACAAATTGGTGACGAAAATTTCTGTTACTAATCCATCACTAAATTTTTTTATTTTGTAAATTTAAAATACAACATATCGCCACATGTCCATCACTATAAGCCGCCACGTCATCAATGGCTGCCACCTCACCAACTCCTCTCTCTCCCATGTTGGCACATCATCTCTTCATTTATGTCATCGCCACATGTCCATCATTAATGCCACCTTAACTCTTCCTCTCTCCCATGTAGCCATGTCATCATAGCGTCCACGTCATCACCATGTGTCCATCATTAGGAGCTGCCACGTCATCACCACATGCCTATCATTATAAGCTACTACATCATCGCCTTATCCACGTTATCGCCACGTCACAAACTAGTTTGAATCTGAGACCTCCTGCGTGTGTGCTGATGCTTTTGCCAGTTGATATGAGAAGCACCTATGAAATTCTTTTACAAATATATATATATATATATAATCTCTAGTAACAAATACAAATATATATAATAAATATTATATACATAATTTAATATGTATTATATAATTTAATATATTATGATTTATTTGAATTTAATTTTATATTTAGTAAAAAATTTCTAATAATTTATATTTTAATTCAAATATTTAACAAAATAATAAGTATATTATATATTTTTATTTTTATTTTCTTTTATAATATTTGTATTTTTAATTTTTATATAATATATTATTTTAAAAATTATGATATATTATATTTTTATTTTAATAATAAGTTTAAAAAATAATTGTTATATATTTATATTATATTTTTTTGGTCACAGATTAGTGATGGAATTGCGACAGAAATTAGTGACGGAAAAGTTCCGTCACTAATTTCTGTCACGGAATGAGAGTTAGTGACGGATTGGTGATAGAAATTAGTGACGGAATTTTTTCGTCACTAATCATTTAAGATGAAATTAGTGACGGACTTGTGATAGAAGTTAGTGACCGAATAAGATTCCGTCACTAATCCTTTACTAATTTAGCGACAAAAATTTTCCGTCACTAAATTCTGTTGCTAATTTTTGTGACGGAATTTGTGAAGGATTAGCGACGGAATTTTATTCCATCGCTAATACCTTGTTTTTTTGTAGTGCCTCTAGGCGTTAATGTAACATGTAGTTGTGAATTCGATGTTATTATTGCTTGGGCCCAAAGAGAGTATTTGCGGTAATATTTTTCTTTTTTAGGTATAGGTATTTTTCTATTAGAGGTAATTCTGTTCGAGATACTATCGGACACTAAATATAAATATCTCTCTCAACAAATTTTGAATCTTAATTTGCTACGTTGTGAGAGATTGACCTGTCAGTTATCTGATCCCGTTGGTATTGAATATGTCGGGAAGGAAATGAGCATGTGTGTGTTCTTTTAAATATACTTTTCTAAATAAATAAATAAAAACGTATGTTTGTCAAGTGAACTTGTGGAAGATACAAGTGAGTCCATAAGATAAGATAACTTAAATCAACTACCAAAGAAGGAGTCATCTTTTTAGTTAATTAATTTCAATGCATATAAGCTAAGGAATAATGACAAATGTAGATGGTGAACTGCAAAATCCTAAATCAATATTTCTTATAATACTTTAACAATTTTTTTTATAATAGTTGACTTGCAAAGCAAAAACATATATCAAAATAAGGACTGGGACAAGCTACTCATCCCGATGAATAAGATGGGAAGGGATTTCTATCCTGCATCCCGTCCCAATATTATCCCAGTCCTAGTCAGGACAGGATAGGACCGGACATCCCGTTTTAGTTTCTTCCACCCCCCATACTGGATACTGGACCTGTGGATCTAATATGATTGGGCTTATTCCATTGGATTGCATACAGCCCAACACTTTTAAGTTTTGTTGGTTTTTTTTTTCCTGTTTCTATATCTTTGGGCTTAGCCCTCTTCAAAATCATATAAATATTATATTGGAATCTTATTATTTGAACGCATTGGTTGGGACACTTGTGGCCAATGTTCAAAAAACTGGACC